TCAGGAAGGAAACTTAACGGCACCGTGCGAAGGCCTGCAGGACTGACTCCGTCCTAGAGGAATGCCGGAACGCTGAAATATCCGAGCGGGAATCCACTGGAATCCGCTCCCGGGTTAAAACCACAGAGCCAGGCGCTGGCAGCAAACGGCACCGAGCTGGGGGCAGTCACACACGACAGAACAGCTCTCCATCTGCGCCCCAAACGCACCGGAATCAGCCAACTATCTCCTCTCTTCCCTAAAGGAGCTTCTGGGGGGGGGGGGTTGGGTCTGCACAAAAGCGGAGACAACAGAGCCCAACTTCCAGCATAAATTTAAAAACCCCAACTGTAACACAGGCTGTTCCCTACAGGCCTTCTCGGTTTAGTCTGCAAAAGTTTCTTACATTTACGACACAAAGAAAATTAGGGTGCTATGGGCTTAACCCTCAGAGCATCTACTCCAAATGTGTTCTTAAGACTACAAATGCTTAAAGCCATCTTAAGAACTTGACACGTTCTGCTGCTCATCTTGGTTTTTGGCTCCACCACCGATTTTAATTCTACTCCACAACTTGCTAGTTGAAGAAAAGCGAAGTTCCAGTATTCCCGATAGTATTTCTAGTGAACTCGGGGGCGCGATGCAGTGGAGCTGTAGGAGTGATTCACAACCACGTCCCCTCCTGCTGCCTGGGAAGTTACACCTGAGCAACACCTGGCCGCGTCGAAGGACCAGCAACAGGCTGCCCGGGGTGCAGCACACCTGCAGCCCGCAACACGGCGACCTGTCCCATCTTACGCAGGACTCACTGCTTTTAATACTGTACTGCCAGGGCAAAAAAAATAAACAAAATTCCCACGGAGCTGAGCACAGCATTGCAAACAGCAAGCCGTGCAACACCACACAAAATGACACCAAATTTTGGGAATGAACAGAGAGCAGAGGTCCCAGCCTGCAGGATCACAACAGCCCCAAGAGGGAGTCGAGTCAGCAGTCAGCTCCAACCGAAGCCTCTGTTTGCGAATCTACCGGCCGGACTCTCGCATGCAGGCCACCGTCACCGTGTTTCTGGGACCCGGGGCGCAACAGAAAGGGAAGAGGGGAGCTCATTCAGAGGAACAGAGGCGCTGGCACGGCCGTACCTATGAGGGCCTGGAAGAGGTTGCTCTGAAAGATGGTGATGACCCTCTCGATGGAGTGGCGGAGCTGGCGGTCCTCGGTCTGGCTCAGCTTCTCCCGGTACTGCTCCAGCAGCTGCAGCGCTCGCTGTGCATCTGCGCGGACACCACACTTTCCGTTAGCTCGCCGGACAACGTACGCACACAAACACACACACGGGCTGCCCCTCTAACAGGTTTAAAAAAAAAAAAGACAACAGCCCATCGCAGCGATTTCACTTTTTCAGTCCCCACCCAGTTGCTGCCGAAACCCCCTGCAGCCCCCCAGAAGCAGCGAATTAAACCCGTGCACTCGCCTGCCCAGCTCGACCCGCACAGAGGTCCTGGAGCAAGTTTCAGTAAAGCAAGTTTTGTGGTGTGTGTGTGTGTGCGGTTTAGTTTTACATTAACACGGGCTTCTCAGCTTCCACACGCACACTGCTCTGCCCCCATGCAAACTCCATTACTCGAGAGAGAGGACGCGGGGGTGTGGGGTACCTACACCCCCAGAGGGATGCGAGGCTCACCTTTCTTCCTGACTGGCATGTTCAGTTCCGGCGCTGCGGAGCGGAGCCCGGCGAAAACCCAGGAATTAAAATCTCCCAAGAAAAGCAATCCTCCGGTGCAGCCGAGCGCCCTTCCCAGGAGCAGAGTTTATCCGGGCTCGCATGAAGCCCCGGTGAGCCCTGCGCACCTCGCGTCTCGGGTTTCTGAAGAGCTCCGCGCCGGACCCGGACACGGACACGGGTGGGGGTCCCCTCGTTCAGCGCCCGGAACGGCAAACTCTGGGCAGCGGGCGAGCTGCAGGGGAGGCACACGGGAGCGTGCAATCCTGGGTCGGGGAGTTTCCTGAAACTTTGGCACCACGCGAAAAGAAGGAGAAGGGGGGGAAATCCAGCCCCCCCTGCGCAGTCGGGTCAGCCAGCCAGGAGCGGAGTTAGGCGGTGCGTACCTCCCCCAGCCCAGCACTCGCGTCCGCGGACACTCGGGGGGTTAACGCTGGGGCGGAGGACCTGCAACTCCCCTCTCCACACCCCGGCCACAAATCACACCCAAGCCCCGCTGTCTGACAGAAGCAAAGTTGAATCCGATCCTTCGCGCCGTCTCCCACTCATCCACCCCCTTCCGCCGGGTTGCTCGGCGTTTTTCTTGGGGAGTACTTGTCTGAACTCGCTCCCCCGCCTCGATCCGGCAAATCCGTTGTCAGCTCCAATACTACTACTACTTCTTCTTCTTCTTCTTCTTCTCTCTCTCAAACCGAACTTCTCCCCGTCTTGTTCTCTCTCTCTCTTCCTCCCCACCCTCTTTTAGTATCTCTCTCTCTCTCTCTCCCCCCCTTCTGTGCCCGAAATTCCAAACTTTCCTCCAAAATGGCGGCCGGCGGCTGGAAACACCGTCACGTGACCGCCCTCCCTACCCCCGCCCGGCCAATCAGGAGTGAGAGCCGGCACGGGGCTACCTTGGCACGCGGCGGGGGGGAGTAGGAGGGGAAAGGTGAGACTCGAGAGTTTCTTAAAGGCGCGACGCGAGGATGCCCTGCAGCAGACACCTGTCCGCAGCTGAGCCCCGAACAGATAGACGCGTCAAGAGCACACAGCACAAAGCGCCGCAACCCAGAACGCGGAAAGAGACGTGCACGTTATCTGGGAGGAAAAACAAAATTCCAGATCGCAAGAGCTTTTTTTTCCCTTTTTTCTGTTTTTTGTGCGTGCTTCGTGCTTCTGTCACTTCATCTCCGTCTGTTCACCCCGGGATGGAGGCGGAGGAAATGAGTCCCTTCTGTCTCGGCCAACCCAGCCCGCCTTGAGCGCCCTGGAATGAGGGAGGGGGTGAGATTTGCGCGACGCGATCGCGAACCGGGGTTTCTCTTGAGATTAACCTACTTCTTTCGCCCTCCCGACTACAACTCCCCCCCCCCCCGCCGCACAGAGCAACAAGGTTGTAATCTCCGTGTTTAATGAGTTCGCGGAGAGCAGCTTCCGATAATCTGCAAGGAGGAGGGCGGGCATACGCGCGCCCAGGTGAGGCCGGGCGATCGCAGGCGCCTTCGGGTGGACCTGTGCGAGGAGCGGCCAGGGCTCCGGGGGTGAATTCGGAGTGTATCTCGCTCCTCGTCGGGTGAGATCTCCCAGGTGTGCCCAGGTGTGCTGTCAGCGTGCCGAAGGAACCGGCTGCCGAGACGCTGGTTCACCTGAGTCGGTGCAGCCGGGGAGCCTCAGAGGCGGCCGCGCTTGATGCGTGCACCCCCTCCCGCTCTGGAGACCCCAGCACTGACTTTAGAGTAATTACTTCTGGGGCCCGATGTGACAAGACACATGCCCGAGCCCGGGTGAAGGTCTCCCCAATGAGAGAATCAGCCACGTTCAGCGCACTGGCCAGCTGCTTATCACAGCAGATACACAGAGCGATTTTAATACTCAGCAGTCAGGGTTTTTTTTTTTACACGAATTTCATTCATTTAAACAAAACAAGGGGTTACATCCACGCCGACAACTAAGAAAAACCACAGCGGCTCGGACTGTGGAACCTCCCTTAAAAGATTCTTCACACCCGAAGAAGGCTCCACAGGCGAAACGCTGTGTTTTCTTTCTTCTTTTTTTTCAGCATGGAATGAACCTATGACTTGTTCCTTTACCCTTTATTGTCAATTCATTAAACGAAGAGCCCTGAAGAAGACAGGAAGCATCTGCCCACGCTGTCACGGGTGCGGGACGCTCGCAAAGTGCAATCCGGTGCTTCTTAACCTCCGTTCAAATCATTTCCACAAACGAAGCAACCAAGTCCAGAGGCAGGGGCACGGTGGCGGGGAGAAACCGGACGCTGAATAAGCACATAGTGCGTCGGAGTTGACACACTTGTCAGTCAGTCAGTCAGTCACTTGCCACACCGAGCCGATTGCGCTGAATGCGAACCCCTCGGTCTGCGGGGATACGAAGTTCGGGGACGTGCGTCAAGCCGCAAGAAGAAAGGACAGAAGGTCAGGGCCTGGCCCGGTGCGGGGTGCAGTACATCATCGCCACGCAATGCACGAGGCGGGCAGAAGTTCAACTGCCCGTTAGCCAGCGGCGGCGGCGGCGGGGGGTCATCGGAGGTTCCGGAAGGGCAGCCCGGGCGCCTGCAGGAGGCGGGGGCCACCACAAGGGGGCAGGTTTTTTGTGTTGTTGTTGTTGTTGTTCCTTCTGGGAGGGGGGTTGTGTTGCATCGTGTCCTCAAGGTTACCCCCCGCCCATCCCTCCGAGTGTGGCTTCCGAGACCGCTTCAGTGAAGTGAGGAACAGCGTGCCGCCCCTGAGCTCGCCTAAACGGTGCGCCAATTAACGGCACGCTCGTACGCGGTAACTCTTGATTCCCGATTAAATCTAACACCCAGGCAGCCACGAGCGGAGGGGCCTCGTGCTGGCTGTAAGCGTGGGGGCTTGACCACTACAACGCTGGTGTCTCACTTTAGGAATTTGTCCTACAGTACACCACTGGGCGGTTTATGCCTGACGATGTGTCTGTTTCCTTTGTTTTTTTTTCTGTCCTGAGTGCGGCTGGACTGTTGTTAAAGACACTATCCCAGGTCTTTCCTACAGAACTCGTTCTCCTCCTCCCTCCTCAACATTGGCCTCCTTGGATTCCGCACTTTCTTGTCCGGATGCCGGGGGGGGGGGGGCCTTCACAGCCGTGCTCTCAGACCTGGGGGCAGGTCGCTTCACGACGCTGTTACTTTCGGAGGGTCACGCTTTACGGGTGACCTTCCCACTCTCGGAGTTCCTCGGGCTCTGCTCCAGTGCCGAGGCGGAGCAGTGTGCACCAGGCCCTGCACGCGCGGTGCCCAGTCCTGCCTGCCACCTCTCCTGCAGAAGCCCACTGTGGGAGACATGCCACAGACCCACTGTGGGAGCAGGCGGTCTGTTTCTCCGCGGCTCTTCGTCTCTGCTGTCGTGACGTTGCCGTATTACTATTCCATACGGTGCACTCCAGCGTCGTCTCAAAACGAAGAGCTAACGATTGATATCGGATATCAGAGTGGAGTGAGAGTTAGGAGGCTGGGCTCATCTTGTCTGTGCACACAGCAGACCGGTGTAAACTCTGTGCTGTAACCTGTTCATTGGCTTCAGGTGCACCAGACGCAGCAGAAGTAATGGGTTACTCTGCCATTTCAATCACCTTTCAAGCTGAGCTCTTGATTTCCCAATGACCTGGATGAAAACCCCTCACTGGCCACCAGGGACCAGGACACTCCCAGGTGGCATCTTCCCTGTGGAAACCAGCCACACAGCACAGCTCCGGGAATCTGGAATTGTCAGGGAGTCCACAGGGAGCGTTTTGATCTGCAGAAATATCGTTCTTCCTTTCTGTGTAGGAGCGGCCTGATTAATTCAAGCTCGACAAGAAGCGTTCATCATTTTCAAATGTGCTCCTCGCTGAGGGCGGAGAGACGTCTGGGGGAGGAAGAGGCACCTTTCTCTTACCCTGGTGATAAGCCTGCCTTTTTGTTTTTCAGTACGTTTCTGCTTTGTTCATTTCTGTTTTCCCCGAGTTTTAACTGACATTTAAAAAAACAACAACTCAGATTTGCTCATGAATACCAGAACCGAATGAACAGAAATTGACTACACAGACATTACTAGCCTTCTTTGAGAGTAAAGACTCCAATTAATCTAGAATCTGGCATGAGTCCTCGGTGTTTTAAGCAGTTCACGGCTCACGTTCCTGCAATGAGTGAATTAAAAACAGTAGACAAAGTGCCAAATTATTGCATCAGTCTTTCTGTTTATTCTGTACAGAGATGCATTTTCAATACAATTAATTAGCAAAACATTTTTAAACAGAAATAAGAGGACCACGCTCAAAGCAGAGGAGATACTGAAACAGTCTCTATATTTCAAACAACTGCAGGATAAATCTATTCCAATCAGCCCACTCTTGCCAACAGCCAGATGTGAGACATCTGTCCTGAAGCACTATCGTCCTCTACAGACGATACAGCCTCTAATGAAAAATGCCAAACTATCAGACTCCCAGTGGTCTAATTGTACCCATAATTAACTCAATAATTTAAAAAACCCATCAGTTGTTTTTTGTCCTTGATATTAAGGTGTGACCGATATTTGAAATCTCCCGTTTGCCAGTCCCTGAGGGGCTGCAGGTAAGTACAAGAAAAGATCAACCAGTAGAGGCTGACGTTCGGTCAATGAATTTGAAAGGCAATGAACTTTGAAATGTTTCGGAGGAGCTCCTGGCAGATCGGTGGGACTAAACGAAACCGACACACCGTGGGGAGGGTTGTGATCTGCTGGGTCTGCTTCACAAGATGAACCCTAACGGTCTGTGCTGTCATTTTGAAACAAACCTCCAACCCTTCCTCCTCCAGATGGGCAAACTCTCTTTCACGTCTGTGTGCTCACAGTGTACCCTGAGCTCCCGGCGGTCATGGTGCAGGGATGGGGCTCCTATGGGGCTCCTCGGGGGACCGCTACAGGTGTGTCCATCCACAGCGGAGCTGGTTCTGCGTCAGGGCACCAGCAGCAGCTGAGGGCCGGAGCTTCCACTACAGCAGTACGGATTTCCTTCGAACCTCAAGTCAAGCCCGGGAGCTTCCTGACAGCTGATGTACTGTAATGACAGTGCAGCTGAGGGCTTATGGCATTGTACTGGCCCAGATGGTCCCAGACAAATCCAGCCTTGCTTCATATTATAAGTGTGTTTATGCAAACCCCAAGAGTTTTAGTGCCAAGTGCCCAGACCTTTTCCTTCAGTTTGTCTGAGCCGGCGGAGGACAGCCCTCACCTTGCAGGTGTGCTGTTTTTAAACAGGAAGAAGGGAAGGGATTCTCCAGAAAGCAGGGTGACTCATCAGTGTTGGCTGTTCGGTTTCGGAACGCACGGCGGCGCGAAGGAATCACGGGTCCCAGATTCCCCCTGCACTCCTTCCATGTCGCACTTCCAGTGGATTTCAGTCACTCGGGACAGGAGGTTCGGCACCACAGCTCTGAAGACTCTTCAAAGACCTGCGGGCGCGCGGCAGCGACAGCCATGAGGGAGACATTGGTGATGAAGGACAGGAAGAAGGATGACGCCAACAGCAGCCCAGCTGCAGACCGGACGCCGTGAGTGAGATAAGGAAGCTATTGTCTGATCTCTCAGAGGCACCTTTAACAGTCCCAGCAGCCCGTGTGAATGTGCTGCCTGGAGCATGCCCTGTCTCGTCTCAGATAAGGTGGGAGGGGTGCAGTCTCCACCTGGGAGGCTTTGTCCTTTCATTTCTAATAGTGCTGCCCCAACACCCAGCGAGCACACACCCTTTCTCCAGAGTGCTAGAGAGGACTGATCTCATGTGGAGCTGCTTTGTTTTAGGACTCGGAGCTCTTTGAAGGATATTTCCAGTATCTCTACAGAGCTCTTA